GGCTTTGTTCGTGTGTTTGGGAAGATTCAGAAACAAGCTGCCAAGGACTGGGGAACCAAATATGGGATGGGTGTTGGGTTCTCTATGGCTCCAAGGAGGTCCCCCTCGGACACCGTCTGGAGGCAGGCTGTCATTGCTGAGCACCAAGGGAACTCAGGAGGTTTTTCTCTGCAGGTCCTGTGGGATATTAAGCAGTTTTACGAACATGTGACCTATGATATTTTGGTTCGATCTGCCCAGTATTGCAAGTACCCTCTCTATCTGCTGCAGTTCGCCATAGGGACCTACCAATGGCCAAGGCATCTTATGCTGGAAGGTCTAATGGATGCAGCACTGTACCCAGGCCGCGGGATTGTAGCAGGATCCACGACGGCCACCTATGAGGCAAAGGTCTTCCTCAAGCCAGGCGTGGACCGATTCACCACCAATATGTCTGATAGTGCATCCCTCTCCCTCCACGTCGACGACCTCACTCTCCAACAGTGGGGAGACTGCATGGGGTGGGTGGTGGGAGCACTCAAAGAGTTGGCTGAATCGGTCCGTTCATATTTGGTAAATGATCTGCAGCTCCCGCTCGCCTACCACAAGTTTGGCATCGCTGCGTCGCCGGGGCCACTACTCAAGCTGGGTCGTGTGGCTCTTGGGGACCTCGCTGGAGCTCCTGATGATGGGGACGTCACGAACTTAGGCGTGGACTTCTCGGGAGGCCAACATAGACTCAGGAGGGGCACCAGAAGGACTCGAACCAAGAGATGGATCAAATACGGGGCTCGAAGGTGTAGGATGACCAGGCTCAAGATCAAATCAGGGCACAAGAACAGGTTGTTTCAGACCAACTTGAAGGCCACACTCACGTACGGAGCTGAAGTTCATGCGTTTAGCCCACACCAGATCAAGGAGATCAGGGCCTCTGCTGGGAAAGACTCTGGGGTCCTCTTCAAGGGGGCACAAGTGGACCTCGGGTGGGCTCTATCGTCGTATCTGGACCCGATCGACATAGCGAGCAGGAGTATAGCCAGGATCGCAGCAGAATGGTGGATGACGACGGCCGTCCACAAGCACGAGCACGTCCACAAGGATGTGCTGAAGCCCGCCCTGCTCAGCAAAGCCTTGCACTCAGCCGCCCACCACCTTGAGGAGACAAAGGGGAAAAATTGGTTCTTTCGGTCCAGAGGACCAATAACTGATGCCTTACTCTGGTGTGAGGAGGCTGGTTGGAAGATGTTAAGCCCAGGGGTTTTCCAGGACTCCGTCGGGGACACCCTCAATTTCACCGAGGTCAGCCCTGCGCTGGTGTCCAAAAGATTTGCCACCCAGCTGAAAGATACTTACATCCAGAAATACGTTCGGGGAGTCTGTGAGAAGAACAATTGCGACACGCAGGACCTTGAGACCCGAGGACTGTGGTGGGAACTCATCAAGCAGAGGATGAACTCCACCAAGCTTGGGCTCACGCTCGTAGAAAAGCTTAGAGTGAAGCAGTTGTTTTGTGGAACCCTCCCGACGGGCGAGGCCCTCGCGAGGTGGGGTTTCAAATATAACTCAGCGTGTAATAGATGTGGCAGGCTCGACACTGCGTGGCACCGCGTTCGGTCTTGCCCTTGCCCGCGTGCGTCAGCTGTCCGAAGCGAGGTTTTCCCTGAGGCTCTTATTCGACAAGCCCTGGAAGCTGGCCCAGGGTCTCTCCTTTTCAGCCGTGCCTGGGTTGCCAGGCCCGACCTGTCCACGGAGCCCCCTGCCCAGGACTGGACGCAAGATTTAAAATTTTTTGGCCCTGGGGGTGTGGAGACGGCGCCGTTTGAATTCCCACCTGGGGCACTGTTGTTTACTGATGGCTCGTGCTTGTTTCCCCAGCTCAAGCCCTGTTCCAGAGCTGGATGTGCAGTCATTCAAGCGAACGAAGATGGCGAGCTGGTCAGAGGCATAAGGTCCCCTGTCCCAGGCACGATGGAGCAGACCAGTGGGTCTGCTGAGCACTGTGCCATCATGCTCGCCACTGCATACTCAGCTGATCAGTGCCAGTCAGGCGAGATTTTTGTTGACTATGCGACTCTCCTCAAAGCTGTGAGGGCCCACCAATGGGCCCTGTCGGGGGCCAACCCGATGGCCCACGTTTGGCGGGAAGTGGCTCGATGGCTCCCTGGGGACCCGCCCCGCCTCACTAAGGTCAAGGCCCATAGATCCGAGGAGGAAGTTGCCAGTGACCAAGTTTTCTTTGTGCGAGGGAACAAGCTAGCAGACCACCACGCAGGGCTTGCAGCCCGCGCGCATGCTTTCAGCAATAGGGTCTCCGACGAGTGCACGACCATTCCCAATCTGTACACTACCCTAATTCACGGAATGGGTAAAGTGCTTGGGGAGTGGCCCACGTTCGGGGAGTTGGGTGAGCTGGGGAGGGCGCGTTTGGGTCCCAAGGCCACTCCCAAGCCACGGACCCCGCACGAGCCAGTTTTCCATGAAGGAAAGAGGAGATGCAACCTCTGTTTTAGATATCTGGGCCGCAAGGTTATCTTAAGTCGGGACTGCAATGGTCTGAACCCGTCCCTTGCTGCTTTTCTGAGTGGTCCCAGGAATCACCACAACCTCCACGTGGCTTGGGTCGAGAGCTCTGGGCTGCCTGTTGTTTATTGCTTGAAGTGTGGTGCTTTTACCACGTGCAAGGCGGGCCCAAAGCTACGTGGACCATGTGACGGGAAGGCGTCGTCCGAGAGCAGGAAACTCAAACGGAGGATCCTGCCTGGAACCGGCCTACCCATTACCAATTCCGTAGCTCTCCCACCCCGAGGCCGTGAACTCAGGGAGGTGAGGAGACCTACGTAAAATTTTATCCGTGAGTGTACTGTGCTTGTACGGTACACCACCTTTCGAGTAACCGAGTAACCGAGGAGGAGAGGAGGAGGAGGAGGAGGAACTGGAAGAGATGGAGGAGGAGGAGGAGGAGGAGGAGGAGGAGGAGGAGGAGGAGGAGGGGAGGGAGAGGAGGATGAGGAGGAGGAGGATGAGGAGGAGGAGCAGGAGTGGTGGGGGAATGACGCTGATGATGATGATGATGATGCTGTGCTGATGGTGATTCTGATGATGCTGATTATGATGATGATGCTACTGATGATGCTGATGCTGATGATGATGCTGTTGCTGATGATGGTATTACTGATGCTGCTGATGATACTCATGATGACCATGAGCATGATGCTGATGATTCTGAGGATGCTGATGATGCTGATAATGCTGATGATGATGATGCTGTTGCTGATGATGATACAATTGATGCTGCTGATGATTCTTTTGATGCTGATGGTGCTGGTGGTGGTGATGATGGTGATGATGATGCTGATGTTGATGATGCTGACTATGATGAGGATGCCACTGCTGCTGATGATGCTGCTGATGATGACGATGCTGATGATGATGAAGATTACGATGATCATGCTGCTGCTGATGATGATGATGATGATGACGTTGATGACGATGATGCTGCTGATGATGATGATGCGGGTGATGCTGCTGCTGCTGCTGATGATGATTATGATGTCTATGATGATGATGATGATGATGATGATGATGATGATGATGATGATGATGATGATGATGATGATGATGATCATGATGATGGTGATGCTGATGATGACGATTATGATGATGCTGATGACTATGATGATGAGGATGAGGATGAGGATGAGGATGATGATGAGGATGATGAGGAGGAGAAGGCGGAGATGGAGGGGGGAGGGTGAGGAGGAGAAGGTGGACGAGGAGGAGGAGGGCGAGGGTGGGGGGAGATAACGATGATGGTTGGGGAGGAGGAGGAGGAGCGGGAGGTGGGGGATGAGGATGAGGAGCGGAGGATATGGAAGAGGAGGAGGGGAGGAGTAGGAGGAGTAGGAGGAGTAGGGGGAGGGGGAGGGGGAGGGGGAGGAGGAGGAGGAGGAGGAGGAGAGGAGGAGGAGGAGGAGGAGAGGAGGAGGAGGAGGAGCAGGAGCAGGAGCAGGAGGAGGAAGAGGCAGAGGCAGGAAGAGGATAACACTCCCGCGATGCGTCAACGAGTTGGACGAGGAGGATTTGGGATGACATTCAACGGAAGGGTATATTGCATAATCATGGTGCAACGCGCACTCCCGTCCCACGTCTCCTTCATTCGTCCGCAGACATCCTTCGTCAATACAGGAAGCACCCTCGGGAAAGACGAGCGACCCGCGGGCATGCCATTCAGGCGAGAGGGTCCCGTTTTGAAACGGAGCCGGCCTCCTTTCTAGCTGGAAGGGTTCCAAGCATGCACGATCAGCATGTTTGTTGCATGTCTGTTGCAGTGTCGGAGGAGGGCTCCACTTCGAAAAGGAGCCGCTGTCCACCCGCGCAACGTCTGCTCAATTTTCAACTTCTGGTCACATGCTATGAGAAGGTATCTCCAGCGAGGGCCCCATTTTGAGAAGGGGCCGCCCTACACCCATGCAGCTGTTGCACACATGTCGACTTATAGTCGTCAAGCGGATTGGAAGTCTCAACCGACAGCCCCATTCTGCTCCCCATCGGTGTACTGCTTGGGAGCTTTGAAGACGACGACTGCGCGGCGCCATGGCGAGAGCCACGTTCTTTAAAGGGTTCGCCCTCCACCTGCGTGCTTCTCGAGAGCTCTTTGAAGACGAACGTGCGCGGCGAGGAGGCGCGAACAAAAGGTCAGCAGCTCCACCATTCAAGGTCGCAGCTGGAAGCCTCGGGCGAAGCGCCTGGCCCGTCCTGCCGACCCGTCTGGCGGTGCTGCGAGGAGGAGTTGTACAGCCAACCCGCACAAGAAGGATGGGCAGCCCCCTCGGTCCATCCTTGGCCGCTCTCGTTGGCCGCGCCCCGCTCGAGGAGCTTCGAAGTGGGCGTCCCAGGCCCCTGCACTCTTGTCGCGCATCCTTCTGACACGGGCCGGCTGCATTCCTGGAGGCGGAGGACGTCGACCCGACCCTGGCGGGGAGGGCGGCGGGCCCGCCTGCGGTGGGGGGTCGTCGGGCCAGGACTTCACCGCTCAGCTCCGGATGCCGGCGGAGCGGGTGGACAACAACATGGCCAAGGCGACACCGCGTCGTCGTTTGAGTCGTCTGGGTCGTCGTCTCGTCGTCGTCGTCGTCGTCGTCTTCGTCGTCGTTTTGTGTTGCCGTCTTTATCTTCTTCTCGTTGTCCCTGCTTCCTCGTCCCTCGTCACTTCTTCTTTCTCTTTTTCCTATCCTCTTCCCTCCTTTCTCTTCCCTCCTTTCTTTTCCTTCGGTCCTCCTCCGTTCTCCTTTCTCCCGCTTCCCTCACCCCTCAATCCTCCTCCCTCTTCTCTCCCTCCCTCCCTCTCTCCTACGTAGTCCCTGTTGGTGTGGGCTGGGACGGGCTGGGCTTGGTCGGGCAGGGTCTGAGAGGGTCCCAGCACGACCCAAGAGGGCCCAAGACTGCCTCGGGAGGGCCATTCCGAGACTCCCATAGCTCCCGGGGAGCCCTCGAAGGGAGCAAAGACGTCGAACATTTGTTGTTTGTCTGCTGCATTTTCGTGTTGCCACCCTTGCGGGCCCAATGTGGCTTCCAGTCGCCTCTGGGCGGCCTTCGGGCCTTCTCGCATGAAGCCCCCGTGGTCTCAGGCTTTCCGAGGGATCAACAGACGGCCCTCGCCCAGCCCAGGAAGCCACCGATGTGAGACTGGCCCCGTGCCGCCCAATATCACCAAGCGCGTTCCACTACTCGCAAAGTGCCTGCTCGCAGATGTCCGAACAACATATGTCTGCTTCGATGAGATTTATCGTAGAGTTCCCGCGGCGGATCCAGGCCATTTGCGAGTAGTTACCTTGCTTGTAGTGGAACGCGCTCGTCTACAATACCCGACCCAAGCATGCTAGAACACCCTATAGACGGCCTCGAGACCACCCTGACGGCCCCAGGACCCCCCAACCGACTAGACGGCCATCGCAGGAGGCCCCAAGTCTTCCAAAGATCTCCCCGGGAGGCCCCGAGACACCTCCAAGAGGTCCGCAAGTGGCACCCAAGAGGTATCGCTGACTGCACCCACAGCGTGTCGTGAATCTGCTTGCCCTGCGCTTCAGGTTCTCATCGAGGGAGGGGGAGTGGCGATGGACGAGGGCGATGAGGAGGGGGAGCAGGGGAATACAGAGAGACAGGAGGAGGAGGAGGAGGAGGAGGAGGAGGAGGAGGAGGAGGAGGAGGAGGAGGATGAGCAGGAGGAGAAGGACAAGGAGGACGAACGCTACGGTCACGCGGATCCAGGTTCACCTAACGCAGAACAATGAGAATGAGGATAAGTAACCAGGATGGTGATGAGAGGCAGGGAGAGTCCGCAGGGGCGCGCGTCGCATCGGCCCGGGTCTGCCCCATGCCTCGGGGTAGGCAGCCTTTACCTGGCACTCGCCGGTGACGTGCGATGCCTGGGTGCGTTTGTGCGCGCCTTGGCGCGGTGCTCTCGTGCAGGCTCGTGATCCTTCGTTGCGGAGCCCGGAGTCGCCCAACCTCTCTGAGCAGGCGGGCGGGAGTGTTTCAGCGCTGCACTCTGACTGTGCATCTCCGCGTGGGTGGCACGAGGACCGGCGCCTCGACAAGAACGCCGAGCGCTGAGACTGGTGCTCCGCCTCCAGTGAGCTTCCACCGCTCACCAGGCAGTGGACGACGCCCAGCTCCCAGTGCCAGCCACAACCGCATCCCCGACGTCCACGACCAGTGCAGTCCACACTACCAGTCGCAGTGCCACTCCCTGCTCACACCGCCGACCGCCACCCCCAGCATTGCTAAGTACGCTAGCGTTTGTACAGATCGTCGCCGACCACACTACTGATCATCGCCACCACGTTCCACCACACCCGTCACTAGATGACCCAGGAGGCTCCCAGAGAACTCTCAAATAGCCTCAAGACGCCTCAATAGGGCCCACGGAGGACCCGCAGATAGTCCGAATCGGTCAGACGCAATGCGAGTTCCTCACGTTGTTGACTATTTTCGGGATCCCCCCTTCTCGGCACAAAATGGCTCCGAGAGCACCTGGGAGGACCCAGAGAGCGCCCAAACGCGAGCCAATAGGGCTCCAAGGGCGTCCGAAGAGAGCCCAGGACTGTCCCGAGCAGCCCCAGGAGGTCTGATGGGGGCGCCCAGAGGCTTTCAAGAGGACCCTGGAGGAGCATAAGATGGTCCAAGATGGCATCACCAGGGCTCAAGAGGGCCCAAAGAGAGCTTCAGAGGACATCCCAAGGAGCCCAAGGCGGCCCAACAGGAGCCCCAAAGCGCCAAAATCGGCCTCAAGACGACCCGAGACGGTCCCACCACAGCCCAAGGTGGCCCCATTTGTCCCAAGTATTGCCGCAAGAAGCTTTGACATGGACCCAAGATGATACCGTCACGGCTCCTCAAGAGTGCTGGAGGAGTTTGAGGAGCCTGAGGTGTGTGCGGAGGAGGAGGAGAAGGATGACGATGAGGAGGAGAAGGATGAGGATGAGGATGAGGATGAGGATGAGGATGAGGATGATGATGATGATGATGATGATGATGATGATGACGACGATGATGCTGATGATGATGACATTGGTGATGCTGCGGCTGCTGATGATGATGACGATGATGCTGCTGCTGATGATGTTGATGCTGTTGCTGCTGATGATGATGAATCTTCTGTCTATGATGATTATGATGATGGCGACGATGATGATGATGCTGATGATTATGATATTTACGATAATGATGACGAACATTCAGTTGATGACGATTGACGGTGGTAGTGATGACGATTATGTCGATGATTCTGATGATGGTGATCATGCTAATGCTGATGCTGATGCTGATGCTGAAGATGATGATGATGATGATGATGATGATGATGATGATGATGATGATGATGATGATGATGATGATGATTATGCTGATGATGATTATGATGATTAAACTGATGTTGATGCTGACGCGGATGCTGATGTTGATGCTGATGATGATGCTGCTGATGATGATGCTGATGATGATGATGATGATGATGATGCTGATGCTGATGATGATGATGATGATGATGATGAAGCTGATGATGATGATGATGATGATGATGATGATGATGATGATGTTGATGATGATGATGGTGCTGACGCTGACGATGATGCTGGCGATGCTCATGATGACGATGATGATGCTGCTGATGATGATGAGATGATGATGGTGTTGATGATGATGTGGATGATGATGATGGTGATGATGATGCTGATGATGATGGTGATGATGATGATGCTGATGCTGCTGATGATGATGCTGATTCTGATGATGATGATGATGATGATGATTCTGATGATGATGATGATGATGATGATGATGATGATGATGATGATGGTGATGATGATGATGATGATGATGATGATGATGATTCTGATGATGATGATGATGATGATGATGATGATGATGATGATGATGATGATGATGATGATGATGATGATGATGGGGAGGAGGAGGAGGAGGAGGAGGAGGAGGAGGAGGAGGAGGGAGGGAGGAGGAGGAGGAGCAGGAGAGGAGGAGGAGGAGGAGGAGGAGGAGGAGGAGGAGGAGGAGGAGGAGCACCGACAAGCCTCAACCGCGCATGCTCCACTGCTCGAAGGCGATGGGCTGGACGCTGGTGAAAGCCAACGACTGGAACCCGGTAACCATCGGCAAGGATAGCGTTTTGCGCTCGCCTTCTCGCCCTCGTCTTCGTCGTCCTCGTCGTCGTTGTCAGCGTCGTTGTCGACGATGGTGGCGATGACGAAAAAGGGAGCAGAAGGAGGAGGAGGAGGAGTAGGAGGAGGAGGAAGAGGAGGAGGAGAAGGAGGCGGAGGAGGAGGACGCGGAGGACGCGGAGGAGGAGGAGGAGGAGGAGGAGGAGTGCGGAGTGAGGAGTGAGGAGGAGGAGGAGGAGGAGGATGAGGAGGATGATCACGACAACGCGAGCGACGAGAACAACGAGGGCGGCGAGGACGATGACGACGACAACGACGAGGAGAAGAAGGACGAGGATCCACGGAAGACGGGCACCCAGTCCGGTATACCTACACCTTCCTGGGGCCCAGGATGGCCCTGTCCAGGGATGGTCGTGGGATGTAGCTGCCTTCTGCGGATCCTCGTCCGCGTCATGGTGATAATGATGATGATGATGATGATGACGATGATGATGATGATGACGACGACGACGACGGCGATGATGATGATGATGATGATGATGATGATGATGATGATGATGATGATGATGACAACGATGACGATGATGACGATGACAATGTCGATGTTGCTGTCGCTGATGATGAGCGTGATGCTGCTGATGATGCTGCTGCTGATGATGATGATGATGATGATGTTGATGATGATGATGATGCAACTGATGCTGATGCTGATGCTGATGCTGCTGCTGTTGCTGCTGATGATGATGATGATGATGATGATGATGATGATGATGATGATGATGACGATGACCCAATCAGAGCTTGCCTCTGTAGGGGTTCTAGTGGATTCATGCTTCAATTAAAGCTTGCCTCTGTAGGGGTCTTAGCGGATTCATATGGTTAGGTGAGGTTCGTCGCCGATTTCGGTGGCCGGCCCAGGTGCCCAGGTGCCCGGGTGCCCGGATGCCCGGGGGTGCCCGGATGCCCGGGTGCCCGGGTGCCCGGGGGTGCCTGGGTGCCAGGGTGCCCGGTAGCCCTATAGCCCTATAGCCCTATCGCTTTATAGCCTTATTGCCCTATAGCCTTATAGCCCTATAGTCCTATAGCCTTATAGCCCTATAGCCGTATAGCCCTAATAGCCCTATAGCCCTATAGCCCAACAGCCCAATAGCCCTGTAGCCCTATAGCCTGATAGCCTTATAGCCTTATAGCCCTATAGCCCTATAGCCCCATAGCCGTACAGCCCTATAGCCCTATGGCCCTGTAGCCTTATAGCCCCATAGCCCTATAGCCTTATAGCCCTGTAGCCCCATAGTCAGCCTTATAGCCCTATAGCCCTATAGCTCCATAGCCCTATAGCCCTAAAAAGATTATAATTGGGTTTTTCTCCGGTATCATATGGTCAGGTCAGGTTTGTCACCATCCGCGTTTCGCCCAGGTGCCCGAGTGCCCTGGTGCCCAGTGCCCGGGTGCTGGGGTGCCTTATGGCCCTATAGTCCTATAGCCCTATAGCCCTATAGCCCTCTTGCCCTATATCCGTATAGCCTTTTTAGCCCTACAGCACCATAGCCAGATATCCCTATAGCCCTAAAGCCCTATAGCTCTATAGCCCTATAGCCCTATAGCCCAATAGCCCCATACCCTGAAGCCCTATAGCCCTATAGCCCTATTGCCCTCCAGCCCTATAGCCCTATAACATTATAGCCTCATAGCCCTATAGTCCTATAGCCCTATATCCCTGTAGCCTTGTAGCCCTATAGCCCTATAGCCCAATAGCCCTATAGCCCCATAGCCCTGTAGCCCTATAGCCCTATAGCCCAATGGCTCTATAGCCCTATATCCCTGTAGCCTTATAGCCCTATAGCCCTATAGCCCAATAGCCCTATAGCCCCATAGCCCTGTAGCCCTATAGCCCTATAGCCCAATGGCCCTATAGCCCTATAGCCCTGTAGCCCTATAGCCCTATAGCCCTATAGCCCTATAGCCTTCTAGCCTCATAGCCCTATAGCGCTATAGCACTATAGCCCTATAGCCCCACAGCTCTATAGCCTTAAAACCTTATACCCCTATGGCCCTATCGCCCAATAGCCCAATTGCCCTATAGTCCTAGAGGCCTATATACCTCTAGCCCTAAAGCCCTATAGTCTTATAGTCTTATAGCCCTATAGCCCTATAGCCCTATATATGTGTAGATATATGCCTATAGCCCTATAGCACTATAGCCCCATAGCCCTGTATCCCTACAGCCGTAAAGCCCTATGGTCCTATAGCCCTGTAGCCCCATAGCCCTATAGACTCGTAGCCCTATGGTCCTAAAGCCGCATGGCCCCATAGCCCCAGAGCCCCATAGCCCCATAGCCCTATAGCCCTACAGCCTTATAGCATTATGGCCCTATAGCCCTATAGCTCCATAGCCCTATAGACCTATGGTCAACCCTATGGCCCTATAGCCCTATAGCCCCATTGCCCTATAACCCCATAGTCCCATCGCCCTATAGCATAGTCCCATTGCCCTATAGCCTTAAAAAGACTTTGATTGGTTTTTTTCTCTGGTATCATTGTTCCGGTGATGATGATGTCGATATCGATGATGGTCACGATGACGGCGACGATGTCGATGACGATGCTGATGGCGATCTTTGCGATGGTGCTGCTGCTGCTGATGAAGATGATTACGATGGCGAGAGCGACGACGATGATGAGGATGATGGTGGTGATGATGATGTCGATGACGATAACAATGGTGATGGTGATGATGGTGATGATGTTGATGATGATGACAATGATGACGATTACGATGGCGATGCTGATGGTGGTGGTGATGATGATGATGATGATGACTCTGCTGATGCTGATGGTGATGGTGATGGTGATGATAATGGTGACTTTGATGATGATGATGATGATGGTGATGATGATGATGACGATGATGACGAGGATGCTAATGATGATAATGATTATGCTTGGAGATGGGGAGGGATGCTGATGATGGTGATAATAATGACAATGGTGGTAGTGATGATGGTGGTTGTGGTTTTGTGATTATGTTGTTGTTGCTGCTGCTGATGTTGTTGCTGCTGTTGGCTGTTGCTTCAATTGTTGTTGTTGTCGTTGTTGTTGTTGTCTCTGCTGCTGGTGGTGCTGCTGATCATGATGAGGATACTGCAGATGATGGTGATGAAGATGAAGATGAAGATGAATATGATGATGATGATGATGATGATGATGATGATGATGATGATGATGATGATGATGTTGATGATGATGATGATGGTGATGGTGATGGTGATGGTGATGATGATGATGATGATGATGATGATTATGATGATGATGATGATGCTGCTGATGATGTTGATGATGATTATGATGATGCGGACTGCGACGACGATCACGTTGACGATGGCAGTGTGATGTTGACCAGAAGAAGGAGGATGAGGAGGGTTAGGAGGATGAGGTTTCTGGTGCGGAGGAGAAGGAGGAGGAGGAGGAGTAGTAGGAGGAGTTGGGACGAGGAAAGCAGCGTGCCGGTCTTACCTAGCATGTCCCTCCAGCAGAGGTGTGGGGCCTGGGTAGCTCGGTTCTTCAGGCGGTGGATCTGGATGAGTGCCCGCCTCGCAACACGTTCAGATGATTCTGTAGGCTTACGCCACATCCGCCGACCCCTACATAAACTACTGCGCCTCCAGGACTGCATTTCACGAGGCTTGTCCGAATCATGACACGGCGCTCGACATGGTTACTGTTGCTTCGTTGCTGTTGTCGTACCGCTTGGTGCTCTTTTTATGCCCTTTGGGTGGCATCTTGGCTTGTCTGCAGGCCATATCTGGCCGCCTCGAGGCATCGTGGGCCATCTTGGTTGCCTTGATTGCTTGCCTGGGCTGTCTTGGAAGCTCGGGACACGGACGCACAAACTTCCAACGAGGGATCGTGGCCTCGGGAGCGCGGCTCCTATGTTAACAACATGCGAGGGCTCGTGGCCTCGGGGACAGGGGGCATGCATGGGCTAGTCTGGTAGCAGAGGTGGGGGGGGTCCGAATTAGAACACGCTACAGAGCAGCACTTGGCATTCTAACACGCCCATGTCGTGCAGGCACGATTGCGGATTTTTTGTAGGGCCTGGTTACCGTGTTGAGTCGTTGTTTGACGGTCCCGGGGCTTGTCGAGGGCCCAAAGGGCCGAACATCGTCGCACACGTCGCCTTAGTTCCTGAGGGTGCACCCCTAAGATTTTCATCGCGTCTGAACATGGACATACAATGCGGAAAACAAAGCAATCGACACAGAAAGCAACAATATCCGTAACATATAAATGGAGCACAAAACATAATAGCAGAAAGGTGTCCAGCCGAATTGTGTTCTGTTTGTGTTTTCGCTTCCGTGTCTGGGTTGGTTCGTTTTCACTTTGTTGTTTTCGTGCTCGGGCTGTTTTGATGCATTATTGTTGTTCTCCGCCTCTCGACTCGATTTTAGTATCTCTTCGCGGGCGCCGTCTTGTCTGGGCCGTCTCACCCCCCTGGCAATTTGCGCCGAGCTGGAGGGTTAGCGTGCCACGCGTGGGCGCGCCATCCCCGCCAGCTCGGCGAGCGTAGCCTGGGGCTGATACGGCGCAGATGAGACGGCGACCCAGGGGAAAATCAAGAGAGGAGAGCCCAAACACTGAACCAAAATGTGGATAACAACCCAGCGCAGGCACGGACCACAACATACATAGAGTAAATGACGCATGGATTGTAAACATGGACAACAGAATGGCGTCCAGCCGAATTGTGTTCTGTTTGTGGTTTGGTGTCCGTGTCTGGGTTGATTCGTTTTCCCTTTGTTGTTTCCGTGTTTGGTTTGTCTTCTTGTTGTTTGGTTCCCTTTCGTTGCTTTTCCGTTGTGGCTTTCCGCTTCTCGACCAGCATTCGATATTTTTCCCGTGGGCGCCGTCTTGTCCGGGCCGACTCAGCCCCGGGCAACTTGCGCCGAGCTGGAGGGTTAGCGTGACGCGTGCGGGCACGCTAACCCCGCGGCAGCTCGGCGAACGTAGCCAGGGGCCCAGACGGCCCAGACGAGACGGCGGCCCAGGGGAAACACGTTACAGAAAAGACAGCCCAGGCATGGCAACAACGTGCACGGCACAAGTCACCTCAGACACGGAAAAACAAATAGCCCAGAGCATACACATGACGCACAAACGCATGCGGAGATGCAAACCTTCAGGGAGGGAAGGTCCAATTGGGGTGCTCGCATAGCCGCCGCCCGCCGCTGAACGTCCCAGGAACTCACGAAACTGGCGGCAGCTCTGCATGTGGCAGCCCCCAGGGAATCAAGGTCCAATCTGGCAGCTCTGGTCGTAATGAGGCTGCTAGCCCGGGTTGCTAATCCCGCGGGCGACCAGTCAGACCGGCACCCATTTTGAAGAAAAGCGACGTGGCACGCTATCCCGAAACCGAATTGCACGCTATCCCCACATGCGTTGACAAAGCACGCTCAACATGAATATTTACGCTCGAATCTTCCATGTTGGGGACTTTGGGGGATAGCTTAGCACGCTTTCTTTCCGACGTCAACCGTAATTCGCGTTCGTATACCTTCCGAATGCTCTTCCGTCAGCGTAGTCGCTCTGCCTAGCCGCCGACGCAACAACGTGTGTTTGGGGGATGCCCGCCGCCTGCACGAGCTGGGAAAAAGCCCTTCGTTCTGGACGGCTGGGGACACGCAGCGCTCGAGGAGTTTCGGTAGCACAGACTGCTGGAAGACGGGCGCCCACGTCAGGGGCATGGATCCACTGCAGCGTCAGTAGGAAGAAGGTACATTCGGCACACATCGGCGGCGAGCGAGGGGGGGAAGTGAGAAGGAGAAGGCCTTCTCAGAAGGTTCGGAAGTCCCTCGGCTTTCTGAGCCTTCCCCGAAGACACAGAAACCTTCTCAGAATGCGCGAAGGCCTCTGAGAAGTCCCGCCGCCTTCTGAGAAGGCCTTCTCCTTCTCACTTCCCCCCCTCGCTCGCCGCCGAGTATGAGGAGGAAGGTGCATTCGACACACAGCTCACAATATGGAATGACTCTGTCGGCACACGTGCACTCGATGAGGCGCGCAATCATCGAAGTTCCCGTCGCCATTCGTGAGATGGCCGGCACAGCTCGAGATATGAGAGAGTCCTCCGATGCGCACTTCCTCCAATCACAGATCAGATATCGCTGCCACGCTGGGTCCCCGCGGTGCGGGGAGGAGTCGGAGCCGAGGCCCGTGAGCACTCCGTGGGACCTGGGTCCCCCCCGAGACGTCTTCAGCCGAGAGAGCGTCGAGTGCAGGAGAGACGGAGGATCCGCAACGGTTGAGAGGAGAGAGGGATCATGATCACATAGGGAAGGTTGATGAAGAGAGA